ATATTAGTACAATGTTCTCAATTCTTTTGCCTTGACTTTTCAAAAGTATTAATAATGCAGCATTATTCACTTCTGACTGATATCCCACCTAGTCAAGAAGTTAATCAAATTTCAGGTATTATTGATATAGTAAACACAAGTTAATCATAATGGTATGATTGAGGACTGGGGACATGAAGTAACCACCTTTTATTCATCATTTTTGTAAAAGCATTGTTTAACCTAGGGCTGTATCTGGGACTTCTATACAAAGTCAACTTTAAAACTGCACTCTATTTCTCCAGAGAACTTGCAGTCCAAACATATGCCAAGATCCTCAGGGAGAGTTTAAACCATTTTAGAAATGTTACTAAAAATTTAGAGGATGGCAATTGTTAAGATGAAACAGTTTGGTTGTTAAGATGAAACATTTTGAAGATTAATTTTTTTCCTCCCCCTCATCATCTGATGATCTGATGTCACACAGAGTTAGTCCAAAGAAAAAAAAATCAGAGAACGTAACTTTATGTGCACTCAACACATGTACTTTATTAAGAAAGTAAATCACAAAATTTGCACATTTCTTAAAGCCTTAAAATCAATCAAGGGAAAAGAAACAAATGATCTTAAATTTGAATATTTTAATAACATTTCTAATTTTTGAAAGAATGGCATTATATCATCTACTGCTGACTCTCTGCTACACTCAAAAAATGTATAATGCCATCATAATTAAAATACATTTATTGGTTATCAATTTACATAAAATGCTACCATGGGCAATAGGTAAAAAGAACTACTCGGGCAGTTTACTATCAGAACTGATGACACCTACTTGAAGGAATCAGTCTTTGTTATGTGGCACAATAACTAAAAAGGAGCAGATACTAAAACATAATCATGAACTCATTTAAAGATCAATGATACAACGTGGGAGTTATAAAAAGTTTGGCTGAAAACGAGTAGAAGTATAAGGACAAGGAAGGTGTCAGCTCTCCTCTGATCACTACACAAAGACTTTCTGGAAGATATGGGTCTTCCAAAGACAGTTTGAAGCAAGGTGACAAAGCAGTGTTTTCTATGATTACAGAGTTTAGGATTGCCTAGCAGAATGCTGGAAGTGGAAGTGGAATGGCAGAATGGAGGACATCTGGGAGGTCGCAGGTGAAGTTATGGGAAGGGGTGCACAGCAAAACAGACAATAAAGCTGAAGCAGGTGATTAGAATAATTTGAGTGCTTACCATCAAATTTATAGCTTTCCCTGAGTCCCAAGGCCAGAAGTAGGTCAAACTTACTCTTAGCTTTGAACCAAGAAACAGAATTAAAATAATGTAAACAAAAAAAAATAAATCTGAGAATTAGATATATAGACAGTTGCTCTTCCAAAACCATAAAATTTAGTGTGGAAAACATACAAACTACAGGCAGAACAGTGATTAATATATGAGGTATAAAGAGTAATTCTAATAAAATAGAGAAATGTAAAAGATTAAAATTCCAATTTTGCACTTATTATTCAGTATTTCCACTTGAAAGTGAGAAACATCAAAATTAGCTATGATAGCAAAACAGAAAACGTTTGTTTGGTCATGTATAATTCTATATAATACTTCTCCTAAATATTGACAGTAGATGCTAAACTAAAACAGCACCCAAATCTAATAGACAAGTCTCTATTAATTTAAATGAACTACTCATTCTGGGTTTTTAATTAATATATACTATTAGTGCATATTTTTTTACTTACAAGTGATAGTTTGATACCTGTATACAATGTATAATAATCAAATCAGAGTAATTTAGGATATCCATCACCTCAGACATTTATCTTTTCTTTGTATTAGGAACATTAGGCCTTTTATCTTCTAGCTGTTTTGAAATATACAATAAGTTATTAACTATAATTTTCATACTATGCTATTAAATACTAGAACTTATTCCTTCTAGCTAACTATAATGTTGTACCTATTAACCAACAGCTCTTTATCTCTGCCTCCCTACTACCTTTCTCAGCCTCTGGTAACCATCATTCCACTCCTTATCACTATGAGTTCAATTTTTTTTTTTTAAGCTCCATATATGAGTGAGAACATGAGATATTTGTCTTTCTACGCCTGGTTTAGTCCACTTAACATAATGTCCTCCAGTTTGCCATAGCAAATGATGGGATGCAATTCTTTTTTCCGGCTGAATAATATTTCATTATATATATAATATGTGTGTGTGTGTGTGCATGTATATATATATACTCACACAATATACACAAGTGTATATGTATATATATACACTATATATATTTCACTTTCTTTAACCATTCACCCATTCATAAACAGTTAGGTCAATTCCATATTTCGACTATTGTGAATAGTGCTTCAATAAAACATGAGGATGCAGATATCGCTTTGATATACTGATTTCCTTTCTTTTGGATATATATTCAGTAGTAGGATTGGTGGATTATATGGTAGTTCTATGTTTAGTTTTTTGAGGAACCTCCATACTTGTCTTCCATAATAGCTACACTACTTTACATTTCTACCAACAATGTACAAGCCGTCGTTTTTCTCCTAATCCTCACCAGAATTGTTATTTTTTGTCTTTTTGGTGATAGCTATCCCAACTGGGTGATTATATCTCATTGTGGTTTTGATTGGCACTTTGCTGATGATTAGTGATGTTGAGCATTTTTTCATATACCTGTTGGCCCTTTGTATGTCTTCTTTTGAGAAATGTCTGTTCAGGTCTTTTATCCATTTTTAAATCAAAAAATTTCTTTTGTTATTGAGCTACTTGAGTTCCTTATATATTCTGGCAACTAATCTCTGTCAGATGGACAGTTTGCAAATATTTTTTGTAAAATTCTGTAGGATGTCTCTTCACTTTGTTTCTTCGCTATGTGGAAGATTTTTAGCTTGATATAATCCCATTTGTCTATTTTTGCTTTTGTTGCCTGCGCTTTTGAGGTCTTATCAAAAATATGTTTGTCCAGACCAATGTCCTGGAGCGTTTCCCCCATGTTTTCTTCTAATCGCTTCATAGTTTCAGGTCTTACATTTAAGTCTTTAATACATTCTGAGTTGATTTTTATATATGGTGAAAGACGGGAATCTAATTTCCTTCTTCTTTACATAGGTATCCAGTTTTCCCAGCAAGTTTTAAGTGACTGTCCTTTCTCCAGTGTATGTTCTTAGTGCCTTTGTCAAAAATGAGTTGACTGCAAGTGTGGATTTATTTCTGGCTTCCATGTTGGTTTATCTCCCCTTTATCAATATATTTGGTTTGTAGTACACTTTTTCAGTCAACAGATGTTTTGTTTTTGAGAAATAGTCTTCTATTGTATACAGATTATTTTTAGGGCAACAAAAGACAAAGGAAAAAAATCAAGTCATCTCTAATACATACCTAAAACAACAATTAATTTTTCATGAGACATTCCATAATTCCTTTCCTCTCTGTAGCCTTCTCTCATATATACATATACACACACTGAATAATTTAAAAAGCAAGTCAAATTGGTTATCTTAAATTGCAGACCAACTCATTACAAAGAGTTACAACTCTCTCTTCTTTTATTTAAGTGTTTTTGAAATAGAAAAAAAAAAATGTCAACTAATTTGGTCATGAGAAAGGAAAACAAAACAACAAAAAAAATTTTTTAAAGAAAAAATTCTGACAATATTTGTTTCAATTAATGTGCATTATAAAGCTGTTTATTTAGGGGACTTACTACATATTAACTTTTCTGAAGTCACGAGTAAAAACATGAACCACAGTTGAGAAATAGTCACTCCTCAAATTAAAGATTTTGGGGAGGGGGCAGACAAACCTAATGAATTAAACATACATTACCATTTGAAAAATACTAACGTGTGTTTGTTGTTTGCTTAAATAGACAATAAAATACAAAAGGAATGTAGGTCATATGCCTAAGGCAGTGAAACAAGATAAAGAGTGGTATTCTGGGCACTACTAGTAATATGAATGGTGTGAATGCTGAAGTCAGGAAATATCTGCACTGCCTTTTCCTATTCCCCTTTTCTTTTAGTCTTTGATGGATATACAATAATTATATTTTATAAGAATGCCAGTGGTGACGGAAGTGCTTCTCCTAATGCAGAGGCTGTAAAGCTATCAGAAGAGCTTTAAGCAAATGTTATCTGTTTTACAGAAGAAATCAATTACCTGCAGATTGCTTAAACCAGTGACAGGCATGGTAAAGAATAAAATGTGTTAAGTAGAAAAGTTACAGCCATCAACATGTAAGGAATTACATGATATATGAAAGCAATCACTTGTTCAATTTACCTTCAAAACTAAAACAAGTTCTTCTGCATTGGAAATAAACATGAACCTCTCTCTGAAAAGGGAACAATTTCTAACTCAATGGAAAAAGTATTGTATAAATTTTAGCCAGCTATAGTGTTATTAGGAGCAGAGAACCACATTTGCAGAGATAAAGTATGTGAACTATTTAATATACTTATTTCAAAGTAGACATCAGTTTGTCTTCATCTTCTTGCAGTTCAGCATTATGCAATTTTCCATATACGCTTGGAATAAAAGGAGTCTGCCAGAAAATGCTCCACACTTTATAACATGCCTTATATTCATATCAAATTGCAAATAATTTTAATACTCCATTAAAACTATCCTAATATATTTAAGTTCTAATATTGTTATCTGTTGACAACACACATTTTATTATCTATTATTAGCAGAAACTGAAAGGAATGAGGCACATCCCCCATATATCTCCCAACTTCCTGAGCCCAGCACAAACACATTCCTCCATATTTCTCTCAAACTTCAGAAAAACACCACCTAGGAAATCCCCGATAAGGACACAGCGGGAACCAATAAAAAATGCTAAATGTGCTGTAACTGAGAGAATTACCTTGTTCCCCTGTAACTTTACATATCCTGTTTACATCGGGCTATAAAAAGCAAGCACTCACATTGTTCGGGGCCCTCTTGTACGCTGTGGAATGGAGGAACCAAGTTCGAACTTGCAGTAAAGATCCTTGCCGCTTGGCTTTGACTCTGGACTCTGGTGGTCTTCTTTGGGGAACAAACGGTCTGGGCATAACAAAACAAATCCAGAAGTGGAGCTTTTTCTTCTGCTTAAAGGAGAGAAATAAATGTATCAAAGAAGCCCTGACAGTTTTAATGCAGGACATCATGCTTCAGGTACTCATCAAAACTGTTAATTACTCAGGTTGAGTTGACATCTTGCTCACCAAAGAAGGTCACAATTTTTAGTTCTTCTTCCTATCATTTATTCAGGAATTTTTGCATCATTTAAATGAATTTTTAAAATGAATTAATTCAAATCACATGTAACATAAAAAAGTGATTTCTTAATATTGCAAAAACAGAATCATTCTACCAGATGTGCTATTAGAGACATCACAACATAACCATCATATTTCTGTGCGTGTCATTGTGTGCAACGACAGCCATGACGAGAGATACCTGCCTAATGAAGAACTTACGTTTTTCTTTTTACTTTCTTCTTTTTTTTTTAACTCAGAAGTGTTTAGAAGAATTTGATCACATGATCTTTTAATAGAATCAGAAGTAATATACCAGCTGGTTCATATCATTCTTTTATGATATTCTGAGGGAGAGTTCTATACTGATTTAATTTTCTTGGGAATAAAATATGTATATTCAGATTTCATGCAAGTCAATTGTCCTTAATGGACAAATGTTAATGATAAGTTTAAAGTACAATATTTTTGGAACATTTGTAAGTTAAAAATTTTAAGAAGAGTCATACTAGTCATTTTGCATCCACACTAACAGAGAAAACAATATTGTGAAAATTCCCAAATGAAAGACATTGCTATCGCTTTTTCCTCTGCAAAATTATCAGGTTGATATAATGGTGATGTCCTACTGATTATTCACCACAGACCTTCCAGCAGGATAATGCATTCTTAAAATATGAACTTGAAACTAAAATATTAAATATGCATTTCCTCCTCCTATAGGACATGTTGAAATGCCACATGCTGTTGGTGAGAATGACCCATAAGTGTTGGATTTTCTCCCCCTTGCTCTTCTTTTCCAGAAACAGTTAGTGCGGCGTGCAGTGAACCAAATCAACAATGTGATTCAAGCTGTCTCTGTAGCTTCTTGGCAAAAGAAAGGATAAACTATAAAAACTCCCCTCCTACAGCTTTCAGCTTTGGCTTCCCACACTTTAACATCTTCTGTCACCTCTGGCGCTGTTACTGACCCATGCTAAGCTAAACTAAAGGATGATAAGTTTGCTGCCTCTGCCCTTGTCCTGAGGGGCTGCACATTATCCTATCAAGTATCAGTAGCCATTTCTGTGGGATATTTGTCACCCCACGAAGGCCTTTGGAACAAATGAAATGGGCAGCGAATTACAAAAATGTCATTCTCTAAAGGAAATGGATGAAGGCTTTTGTTCTCCAGTAATAAATAGATGCCATAGGCTTATAACACTATTTTTATATTAAATTTGACAGGGTTACTATTTCTAGCTCATTAAGGGAACAGCTTGAAAACTCTTTCTTTCTGTACTTTAAAAAATAATGCTGCTTCCCCCTTTTCTTCCTAGTAATAAATATAAACAGTACCTGGCAATAGATACTGGAAATCATAGATCATGATTCATTTGAAGTTACTTTTGCTATTGTTTGTTTTAAAAACATACAAAAACCATTTTTAGGGAGAGATTTTGAGACTAAAAATGAATTATGTAAGAGGTACCTATGAACGCATTTTAAAAGTCTGATTTATACCTATTCCTTCTTTCTTTATAAATCACAAATATATTACTTCCTTTTCTCAGTTTTCTCACACATTATGGTTTTACAGGGCACTGTGATAAATATGCTATAGACAAAGGTCAAGCAAAGCATAATAACTCAATTCTTTAAATGAAAGCTTCAAAGTAAATCCTCTGTGTTTAACAGCAGTATACAGGGGTCAAGATGACAATGTCCCAGACTTGAGAATAAAATGTGTGTTAATATCTTTGAGCCTCAGTACATTTGTTAAATGGGTATACTTGGACTGACATACTTAGGTTTTCTTTGACGTAGAACTTGAGCGAGATACCTAAGACATGATAATAAATTAAATAACACCACATATTTTTAAATAGACTTAGATTGTGTAGTTCATCAGGTTGAGCTGAGTATTTTCATGGTAGTTACAAACTATTTCCAATAAAATAGGCATCTTTCTTCTACAGCTTTACCTACATAATGATTTTGGAATTGAACTACCTTTTACTTACTACGTTTATTTTGCTAAATAAAATTTGTAAGATAAAGTATTAAAAGTAATTCCTTGAAATTTTTCAGTGGTAGTTAATTTGGCCCATTAATGTATTGATGAAGACTGTTAATAGTTGTGAAAATTATTTAATAGTGAAATACATGATCTAGACTCAGATTTTCTGATTTTACATCTTAAATTATAGCATCTGGGTTGACATATAATGTTGAATGTCTTAAGTTTAGTCAGTATGTATGTCCATATTTTTACTGAATTGATTAGCAAAAAGACTAAAAACTGGTCAAACCAACTTTAAATTTCAATTTTTAATTTTTTCTTTGCTTCTTAACATGAGAATACATGCCTAGCTTTGTGAACTCCATGATCGTATAAAAGCTGCGATAAAGGCACAAAAGAAGCCAAAAGTTCTACAAAAAGTAACAAAGCATGTCAGTCCACATCTATCCCTTTAACATATGTATTGAGACTCAAGGATAATAATGTACATTTTAATTTTTAGCCAGATCACTGTCATCTTGACTCCTGTATACTGCTGTGAGCTACCCAATACCCATCCTCTAGTGTCTGACTTCTGACAAATGAGTCTCCATTTTTTGAACTAAGAAATCTTTATCCTTAAACATTTAACTTCCTTAGCCAAAGCTAGTTAGTGATTCTTCCATAATAAGAGAGGGGAACGTGTTTGAAAAATACATAGGAAGAAAACTCTAAGAAATATATCTATTTTGAATAATGAACTTTTCTCAAAAAAATGAAGTCTAAAAAAGAAAACCCCATTTGTCTTTGTAAGTGGAAAATGATGACTGGTGTTCTCCATATTTATGTCACACATATAAATGCTAAATGGAATATGGTAGATTAAAAAGACTTTCATTAATTGAAAAATTATTAAAACATTGTAGTTGGTTATTCAGAAAGCTGGAGTGATTTCTTTTCTGTTGATCTTTAAAAATAGAGTAGACTTCATTCTATATTATTTTATATGTGCTGTCCTATCCATAAGAAATGAAATGTAGAGTATATATATGATCATTTTGTCATCTGAATACTTATTTAAAATTTGACTTCTATGTTTACTTCATTTTTCAATTCAAGATATTTCTCAAAGGCCACCAGTTTTCTCTTATCCCATGTAAAAAACATTTCAAAATAAATTGATTTTTATCTCCTTGATTTGTATTCTTTAACGTAATCAACAGGTTTAAAACTGAGCTTCTTATTTCCCAAAATATCTTCCTCCTGATATCCTCACTGTTACACCCTAGGAGGCAGTAAACAGAAACCCAGAGCACATAAGTGGTATTGTGGGAAAGACCACAGGAAAGAATGCTATACTTTCTTCTAAGGAAAAAAAAGAAATGACAATAAGCAAAAAGAAATTACAATAAGCAAAAAGAAATGAGTTTCCCCACCTACTGGTGAAACTGAAGATTGTTAAGCCACGTTTGAGACAAGGGCTTCATTTCAGAGTAAAAAATCAGATATGAAACTGTATAGACCAGCAAGATATTAAATTGTACAGACCAGCAACCACTTGACAGCCTGTGGTGCCTATAAGAGCAGGGAGAAGGGCAAAAAGTTTATGGCGGCTGCAAAGTTGTGGTGGCCTAATGAAAGACTTTCTATATTCAGGGCTTTCTTTATCTAGTTGACTGGTTGATGGGCACCCAGGATAGGCAGAACAGGGTAGGGGCTAGGAGCAGTTCAGTGTATTTTAGCAGTTCTTTGATAAGTTAATGAATTGTGATCTTTTTGTGAATTAAATAAGTTACTCTGAGATAAGAGAACCTGTCTTTATATGCCATGTTTTATGGCAGAGAGGGCAGAAAAAGTTACAATATAGCAATCTGGGAATGTTTTATAAAATGAATCACTTGGAAAACTTATTTTTATTAGTGTCAGATCATTTACATCAGAGACACTTCTGGCACTTGAACATTTAATTTAACTAAATCTAGCTAATTATTCTTCAATATATTAGAAGAGAAAATATATGGAAAACATAAAAATAAAACAATAATTTAGAGTTTGAAGAACTACATTTTCTAGAATAATTGAGTCTAAAGAAAAAATATACTTATTCTTATTTTTAACAAATGAGAAGAATAGCAGGTTACATTAGACTTTCTTTCATAAAAAAGCTGTTAAAACTTTGTAGGAATTTTCTCTAAAAGTTTGAGTAACTTCCTTTTATGTTGATCCATAAAAGTAGAATAAACTCTATCCTATTTAGTCAATTCTCTTCTGTCTCATTATGCACACTTTCCCTTTCAATTCCTGTGTAGTCAGTTAGCTAGTCTTCTTAATTTAGATTTTTCAATATTTCTAGTATCCATACATAATTTTAAATTTCTATCACTTTTATTCTAGTTTGGATACTCAGTCTCTTTCTCTCTTAAATAGATTGTTTCTAAAAACAAACAAACAAACAAACAAAACAAGACATCCAAATGGTTTAGGCTCACCTCCACTCTCTCTCCACTCCTACTGTGCAGCATTATAAATGAGTCTTCATAAATTCTCCCCCACCCAACAAGCCTTGAAACAGTATAGCACGACATTCAAACTACTGCATCTCTCGTGATCTTGGTGTACTTGGCCAGGTTGCTTAATATCTCTAACACTTTGTTTATTCAGAAAAGCAGGAGAGGCTGGGCGTGGTGGCTCAAATCTGTAATGCCAGCACTTTGAGAGGCCGAGGAGGGTGGATCACCCGAGGTCAGGAATTCAAGATCAGCCTGGCCAACATGGTGAAACCCAGTCTCCACTAAAAATACAAAAATTTGCCAGGCATGGTGGTATGCACCTGCAGTCCCAGCTACTCAGGAGGCTGAGGCAGGAGAAT